TGATTTTTGAAAGTAAAAAAGCCAGTCCTTTCTTCCTAGTCTTTCTTAGGACTGGCTTTTTGGAAGCTCTGCTGAAACCTGTTCAGCATTGTAGAAATACAAAAGTCTCCACGGTAGATGGATCATGACCATGCATGAGGTGCATTGATTAAGAATTTAACCCAAGTCTCTAGCATGGAAAGTGAGAATTCTACCACTGAACTGCCAATGCCATCCTGAGAATGGGGTAGTGGGTCTTGGAGCTAGAATCTCTCTAGTCCTTAGATGTCCCATCACAACATAAAGATAATAACATTCACCTCTTGGGGTGCTTTGATGATAGATGAAATCGTGTAAGAAAAGAGCCAAGCAAAGTATCTGGCACATAACTCCAAAAACTCACTGCCATTAAGTGGATTCTAATTCTTTCTAATTCAAACCCCATAGGATTTCCAAGGCTGAAAAGCCTTACAGAAGCAGACTACCTCATCTGTCTTCTGCGGAATGGCTGGTGGGTTTGAATGGCCAACACTTTGGTTAGCAGCAAATGTCTTAACCACTACAACCCCAGAGCTCCTTATCTCATATAGTCTTTTCTGCATACCCCCTTTCTGGCAAATAAACTAAAAATAAAACAGACTCACTGCCATCGAGTCAATTCTAACTCATAGCAACCCCCATAGGGTTTCCAAGGCTATAAATCTTTATGGAAGCAGACTACCCCATCTTTCTTCCATGGAGACTAGAAAGTTCAAATCACCAACCTTTTTGTTAGTAGCAGCTGAGTGCTTAATCACAACACCACCAGTTCCTTATCTGGCATGTGGTAGGTACTTAAATGATGCTATGCCCCTTCTTCCCTTTCTTTAAAAAATCCTTTCAATTCAGCTCCAGCCACACTGGAACTAAGCCCTCCCATGGTCTGAATCTCTAGGGCTTGGGAGAAAGTTTGGTTTTGAGAGGAAAGGGTTTCTAATGAGTCCTAAAATATAAGGCCCTTCAATTACTAGCAGAGAAACAGTGCTTAAGCTTTAGTTTTGGGCAATGATGTTCTGCTCCAAAGAGCAAGGATGCCCCCTCTTACTATTTCTCCTGGGACTGGACTCTGTGCTTCCTTGCTAAGATCACGCTCTGCCAGGTTTGCCTGTCCAACTGTGCATTCTGAAGCGCTTACCCCTGGCCTGGGGCCATACAAAGGGTAATGGGTAACACATACATATCCTCCCTCCATGCAGATATGCATAGCCACCCAAGCATTCACAAATGGAGAGGAAGTCTGTGCAGGGAGTCGGAACCCTCACAATGAAAATGTTTCACATTTGGATCTCTGTAACCCAGGGCAAGACACTTTACCAATCCAGAAGAGAGGCCACATCGCCCAACCCATCCTATGGAAAGACCCTCTCCTGTCTCACAGAAACATTAGGAAGCTTGCTTATCTAGAAATGAGGATGGGGTAAGGACTTTGGAAAGGCACTGCTGGTTTGGGCTCTTAAAAGCATGTGGCATTTTGTCCTCCCACCCATGACTACACCAAAGCTAGCACAAATGACAAATGGTAAGTTCCCTGGTACTTGGCAGACAGCCAATCCCAACTCTTCCAAAGGAGACTTCTGGGTTCTCATCCATCCTCCAGGCCTCCTCTTCATGCAACTACCTTATAGGTGCCCAGAACCAGGAAGACGTGTGGCATAGTGAGAGAAATCAGCCCTGCCTTTTGCCCACTCTCAGTGAGGGGATAAGGATGTAGCCATTTCCAATCTGATCCAGTTTTGCTGAGCATCTAGTCCTTGCTGGCCTTCTTATAGCTGTTCCCACCTGGGAACTGCTGCCATGTAGCTTGTGGTGCATACTCAGGTGGTTCCCCCAATAGTGTCCCTTGAACACATCCAGGTTGGGGTTGACTCTGGTATTTGGCTAAGGTTCACTCCAGGAGTTAGTCATTGCCCTGGTGTGAAAGATCTGGGATAATCAACTGAACCCACGAGAGCCTTAAGTTGTCACCTGACACCCACATCTGTCCCACCTCCTCCAACCTGCCCCCACTTAGTCTTCCAAAGAACAGAAAAAACAAAGTGTCTTTATCTCCACAAGGAAATAAAAGGTTTCCTTACTGGGAAATTCCCTTACGGAAAAGAAAGAACCAAGGTAAACAAGTCTATTGCCTTTGGCTCAAAGAACTAGTGGAGTGTCTCTAGGAGATGAGGGCAGAGGCCAAGGTACTGGGGGAAGGCCTGGGAGATAATACCCTGTGCTGTGGGTCTTGTGCCTGGTCTCTTTGGAGCTTCCTTATCTTTATGGGCACTCATTACTGCCCAAAGCTTATTATCTTGGTTTTCTCCTTTTAACACTTGTGGAGTCCATTCTAAAGTTTACAGCCTATCAAAGTCCATGGGAAAGTGCAGACTCCTCTCCTCCTCCAGGCTGTAGTTAGGATCTTAGCAAAAGCTGCAGTCATGGTAGGCCCTGAGACCTTCCTCCCTCCCCAAACCTAGGCTGGGTTCACAATGTTGACAGGATTCCCATGGAGTGTACCCTCTGCATGGCCTTGCCATGCATTCTCCATTATTGTCTACTCTGCCCTCTCCAGCCAGGCTATTAAAGGCTATATCGTCTACATTTTTTTTTCTTTCCTGCATTTTCTCCATGCAAATGTTGCCCCTCTGGTTCCCCATTGTCAATTGCTCCAAGGGATGCATCTCCATAGAGTATTTGGGTGCGTCATCCTGGGTTGAGTGATCTGCATGTATATCTTATTAACTATTAGGCTAAGAGACAGCACCTGGGAGTGAGTTTTATTCCAGGCCCAGAATGTATCCCAGGACCATAGTATAAGGGGTCCCACCAGACTCCATCTGACCAGTAATTCTGGTCATTATTGTGTTTTTGGATTTTGTTCCACGTTTTTCCTCTCACTATATCCAGGATTTCCAGTCTTGATCCTTTGCCCAGTGATTGGCATTGGTAGCCAGGCACCATCTAGTTCTTCTGGTCTCAATGTCCACGATATCCTAGGGCTGATTGCTTCCAAATGCCCTTGGTTTTTTGCACTCTTCTTCGCTTCTGATGATAGGAGACTATTAGCTGCATCTTAGATGGCTGCTTGAAAGCTTTTAAGACCCCAGTCACTACTCACCAATGTAGGTTGAGGAACAAGATTTTTATGTATTTTGTGGTGCTGATTGAGTCTGGTGTCCCCCAGTACTATGGTCCTGAGTCAGTAGATACGTTGGATCTCTTCCCCCTCCCTTTTGTTTTTGGCCTCCTATGTTTTTAACCCTGACACCAGAACTGAGTGGTTGGGAAACCTTGGGCATGACACTCAGAGTCTTAAGATCTTGATTTTCTTATCCATTTGTTGTTGTTAGCTGTGGTCCAATTGGCCCCTGACTCATGATAATCCCATGCACAATGGAACAGAATGTTGCCCAGTCCTGCACCATCCCATCCCCATCATCAGTTGCAGATCGGACCATTGTGATCCACAGAGTTTTCATTGGCTGATTTTGGGGAGTAGATCCCCAGGCCTTTCTGCCTAGTCTGACTTACTCTGGAAGTTCCACTGAAACCTGTTCAGCATGATAGCAACACATAAGCCTCCACTAACAGATGGCGGTGGGTGTTCATGAGGAAGTGCACTGGCCAGGAAACTAGCTTGGGTCTCCAGCATGGAAGGCAAGAATTCTATCACAGTGGTGGTTCAGTTATAGAATTCTTATCCATAAAACAGTTCTAATTAAATCTACTCTGTCTTATTTAAAGGCAAGTTAAAAGGCTCAAGTGAATAGTGTAAACCATCACACACACACACACACACACACTGCCATCAAGTCAGATCCAATTTATAGCAACTCCTCCTTGGGTTTCTGAGGCAATATCACTACAGAAGTAGATTGCCCAACCTTCGTTCCAAAGAGTGGCTGGTGGATTTGAACCACCAGCCTTCTGGTTAGCAGTCTAACGTCTTAGGCACTATGTCACCAGAGGTCCCAGTGTAAACCATAGTACTTTGATAAACAACAGGGATAAGCATAAAGCATAAGCATGTTCATGTATTTGAGATGGTGGCACAGTGCCTAAGGCATTTGACAGCTATCAGAAGGCTAGCAGTTTAAACTCCTTGGAAGAAAGACTGGGCAATGTATTTCAGTAGAGATACTGCCTCAGAAACCCAAGGAGGGGTCGCTATGGGTTGAGTCAACTCAACAACAGTGAGGTTTTTCTTTTTTTTAATAGTACAGTGAAAGAGGTTAAGAGCTTGGACTTTGGAGTCAGACACATCTGGCTCTGATTCTGTCCCACCAGCACACCTAATTCCTGTGTAACCTTGAGAAAACTAGTTAGCCTTTGAATTTTCATTTCCTCAGCTGTAAAGTGTGGATAAGAATACCCACCTCAAAGGGTACATATGAAGTTTAAATGAGATAATGCCGTATATTATCTGGATGTGATAGAAAAGTTGGTGGTGATTATTACCATTATCACTACATTTACAACCTTAATAATTATGAACCCTCCTCTACTGGTCTCAGCTTGTTCCTCTGAACACACCATAAAATATGCCAGCCCCCATCCACCTCCAAGTGATGTATGGAGGGCAGCTGAATTGGAAAGATGGGGCCATATGTTGACAGAACCAATTAGTGAGTCATTTCTTAAATCTCATGGTGTGCCTGGGACCTCGTCTCCTAGATGAGGACACAGAAGAAACAGCATATGCATTCTTATCCCAAAGGGGCTGGCAGCTTAGTTGAAAAGACAAAAATCCACTGGTAACTATTGAGAAACAATATGCATGTGAGATGAGGATTTGAGTTGTAGTGGGAAAAGGTGGAGACATTCATTCATTCAGCAGGATGTATGTCAATTGCTGGAGACACAAAGCCAAAGAAGAGCTACAGAAACTCTAAGGTCAACTAATCTTGGAAGACAGAGAAGTTTCATCTCCTGTGATTATTGTCTTCCAGCATCTCACACAGGCAGTCACCTGGGCCACACAGACCCTGAAGGAGCCACCAGCCATGATGCTTTTGCTCCTCACCTGCCTGCTGGCTGTCTTCCCAGGTAAGTCTCCAGACTAACTCTCCATGGCTCCACAACCTTCATCTACCCCTTGAGAATCAGTCCCCTGGGAACCCTAAGATGAGACTCATCCTCAGGGATGTCCTCTCAAAACATGCATGCCCTTGAGAGGAGTCACACAGAAAAAGCCGCATCTGAAAAGGGATTAGTGAGGACTGATGGGGATCAGGGGCAATTCTTACTTTCAAGGCCAGGGGTCTGGTGAAAGGTTTCCAGTGGGAATAAAAAAGACCTTGACCTCTGGAAGCATCTCTGTGATTTACTATGGGATTTTGGGGAAAATCACTTACCTTTCTTGGCTCTCAATATTTTTATCTGAAAAAAAATTTAAAAAAGGAAATAATCTACAAAATGTCTTTAGAAATAAAGATATAATAGCAAATCCAAAGGTGTAGTACCCTAACAAAGGTGGTATTGTTAATTTTTTAAAAAATGGATAATATCATTAAATAAGTTTGTTATTCCATTGTCCTTAAGATGAGTATACTCAGTTAATTTAAAATATAACTTAATAATGATTAATCAATCACTTTACCCAATTCCAGCAAGGGTCTGACTATCTTATGTGATAAATATTTCACAGAAGGCACAAGTGGCAGGTGGAAAAATTTTCTTTTCAAGGTAGGCTGTCTGGATGCCTTCAGCAGAATTTACCTCCCAAGGGCTTCAGAGAGCCTCTGTCTTCTCTCTCCACAGTGGTTTCCATGAAGAGTCCCATATTTGGTCCCCAGGAAGTGTTTAGTGTGGAAGGCAACTCAGTGTCCATCAAGTGCTACTACCCAGCCACCTCTGTCAACCGGCATACCCGGAAGTATTGGTGCCGGCAGGAAGCCAGGGGCCACTGCACAACCCTCATCTCCTCAGCTGGTTTCATCTCTGAGGGCTATGTGGGCAGAGCGAACCTCACCAACTTCCCGGAGAACAACATGTTTGTGGTGGACATTACCCATCTCACCCAGAGTGATTCTGGGAAATACAAGTGTGGTCTGGGCATAAATAGCCGAGGCTTGTCCTTTGATGTAAGCCTGGATGTTGAAAAGGGTAAGGACCCAGGCTCCTTGGGCTTCTGTGGGAAAGTGAGAGGGAATTACCTCATGGGCAACGGGAGTGCTTGAGGAAGAACTTCCTGAGAGGGGAGGGTGTGCAGTTCTATATGGTGTGCGGAAGGCTATGGGCCATCCACCCTCCAGAAGCAAGGACTTTTCAAAATAGATGTTGGGAAGGAGACCCATGGGGCCAGTATGGGGGCTGGCAAGAAATATACCTTCCTAAGTCTTTGGGGCCTACCATATATGACTTTACTGAAACCCTAGCTTAAAAAGGCACTGGGAAGACAACTTCTGTCATGTATACTGCAGGTGGAACAGGACATCTGTGAGCTGAGGAAGGTAGAATAGTCAGAAAGAGATTTTGAGGGAGCCATAAATTCCTGCCATCAATGCACCCCAGGTCACTGTTGTTGTTGTTAGGTGCTGTCAAGTCAGCTCCAATTCATAGCGTCCCTACGGACAACAGAACAAAACACTGCCCAGTCCTATGCCATCCTCACAATCCTTGCTATGTGTTGCAGCCACTGTGTGAACCCGTCTCATTGAGGGTCTTCTCCTTTTTCACTGACCCTCTCCTTTACCAAGCATGATGTCCTTTTCCAGGTCACTCAAAAAAAAAAAAAAAAAACCCTCACTGCCATCAAGTTGATTCTCACTCAGCAACATCCAACACTGTAAATCTTTACAGAAATAGACTGCCTCCGCTTTCCATGGAGCAGTTAGTGGGTTAGAGCCACTTACCTTTTGGTTAACACACAAATGCCTTAACCACTACACTACCAGAGGTCCTTGGTCACTCAAACCAAAAACCAAACTCACTGCTGTTGAGTTGATTCTGACTCATAGCAATCCCCATTGAGTTTCTGAGGTGGTAAATCTTTACAGAAGTAGATTGCCCCATCTTTCTTCTGCAGAGCAGCTGGTAGGTTTGAACCACCAACTTTCTGGTTAGGAGTCAAATGCCTTAGGTACTGTACCATCACAACTCCTTCCCTGGTCACTCAACTCACTGCAGTCTAGTCGAATCCAAATCCGACTCATAGTGACCCTTCCTTGGGTTTCCGAGGCAGTATCACTATGGAAGTAGATTGCCCAATCTTTCTTCTGAGGAGTGGCTGGTGGGTTTGAACCACCAGCCTTCTGGTTAGCAGTCAAATGCCTTAGGCACTACATCACCAGAGGCTCTAAATAAAATGCATATTTGTTACCTGGGAGCCAAGGAGCTCTGGTGGCATAGCAGATAAGGGACTTGACTGCTAACTGAAAGGTCAGCAGTTCAAACCCACCAGCTGCTCCATGGAAGGAAGACTGGATGATCTACTTCTGTAAAGATTTACAGCCTCAGAAACCCAATGGGGTTGCTATAAGTTGGAAATGCTTGATGGCAGTGAGTTTGGTTTTCTTTTTTGGGGGGGATCCATTAGATCATCAACACTAGTGGCATGAATTAGACAATCAGCTGTACCCCACAGAACAAGGCCCTAAAGGGATAGGTCACTGAGAAGCCCTGCCTGAGAGAAAGGAAAAGTAAGAGGGCTCTTTCTGGCAAAGATTCAACAGTGAAGGCATTTTAGATCATGAAGGTCAACCAAGAAGAAAACAGAATCTTAAGAGAGGAAATTTTGAAGAGAAAAGAAGAGCTCCCAAAGATGTTTATTTCTCCTTTGAGATGTGCCTAGTATTGCCTTTTTATGGGCTTAATAAAGGATTTATTTAGGTAGTGATGGAGATTCTTAGAATTGCAGTAACTTAAGAGCAAAGGGGACCTTAGCACTCCTTCTATATAGGATGTTCTAGAATGACATTGTAGACTGAATGCAACCTCTGATTAACACTTGAGGGTAGAAGAGTTCATGACTTCACAAAACAGTTCACCCAGTGTTTGAATTTTGAGAAGCTCCTACGGCAATGAGCTACAATTTGCCACTCTGTTACCTACATTCATTCTGTTCATTTCAATGCACATAGTTCTGGGCATTTACGAGGTATAGGCACTGTGCAGGAGAGTCATACACAAGCAAAGTGTGTCTCTGCCCACAGGAGCTTCCAGACTGTGGCGAAGGCAAATATATATATATATATATATATATATATATATATATATATATAATTAACTATATACAATGTTGGATGTAATAAGTGATTCTTATATAAGTATCCAAGGAGCACAGAGAAGGGAGAGATTACACCCAGTATGAGGAAGGCTTCATGGAGGAGGCAACATTAAAGCTGATCTTACCAGAATTAGGTTGACAGTATCCCTTTGGGGAGAAGGGTATTCTGGGTGATAGACACATTCAGATCCTTTTCAGGAACAGTGAGTAGTTATTTGTTGCAAGGAGGCGGAATTACCAACATGTACCCCCAACCTATCCTGCAGGTCCTGTGTTTCCAAGTGATACTCAGATCTACACAGAAGACCTAGGTAGAAATGTGACCATCAACTGCCCTTTTAAGGCTGAGAACATACAGCAGACAAAGTCCTTGTGCAAGAAGACTGGCCAGAACTGCGTCACGGTCATTGACTCCGCTGGATCTGTGAGCGCTGACTATGTAGGCAGGGCAAGCTTTAATCTACAGGGTACGAGCAAACTAATGTTTACCGTTACCATCAGCCGACTTCAGCCGAAAGATGCTGGGATGTATGTCTGCAAGGCTGGGGAAGAGAACAAGAATGTGGATCTCCAAGTGCTGAAGCCAGAGCCTGAGCTGGTTTATGGAGACTTGAGGGGCTCAGTGAGCTTTGACTGTGCCCTGGGCTCTGAGACTGCAAACGTGCCCAAATTTCTGTGTCGAATGAGCACCGAGGAAGCCTGCGATGTGATCATCAACACCCGGGGCAAGAAGGCTCCGGGCTTTGAGGGCAGGATCCTGCTCACCCCTATGGACAAGAATGGAGTGTTCAGTGTGCTGATCATGGGCCTGAGGAAGGAGGATGCAGGGCGCTACCTGTGCGGAGCCCACCCCGATGGTGTGCCAGGGGATGGCTGGCCCCTCCAGGCTTGGCAGCTCTTTGTCAATGAGGGTGAGACCCTGGAGCGGGGAGCAAGAAGGGGTAGCAATCTAATGAGCTCAGCTCTCTTTTCCAGGGCATGAACTATGAATGAGTCTGTTCATCAATATGTCTACAACATCCACTCACTAATGGGCCCTGAGCTGGATGTAATATGGGCAGCAGTACCAGAGAGCTAGTACTCTCTGCCTTGTGTTAAGGAAAAGAAAAAAAAACATTTGCCATGAAGTCAATTCTAAGTCATCACAACCCCATATGTGTCTGAGTAGAACTGCACTCCTCAGAGTTTTCAACGCCTATGATCTTTTACAAATAGATACCAGGCCTTTCTTCTGAGGAACCTCTTCTCTGTTATCAAAGATCTTTCGACCTCTGTTTCTGCTTAATGGGAATGAGGACAGTGAAATTCCTGATTGAGGTGATTGATTGTCTGGGTTTTAGAGAGCCATGGTGTGCAGCCCACTATGAGGACCTCACATGGAATCCCAGTGCAGAGGCAGGGCCTACAGAGGTCATCTATCCCCTCTCACTGACCCCCAAGTAGGATAGCACCTCATTCACCACATTCATATGGGAGAGAGATTGGCTTATCTTACTTTTAAAGCTTTCCAGGAAGGCACTTCCCCAGCTTCCATATTTTCTGCTCCAACACCTCTTAGTCAGGGTTACTTGTCAGTTAGCAGGATCTGACCTACTCAGCTCTCCTTTGAAGAACCAGCAACATGATAAGTAATTAAACCCCTGCTCCTTCTCAACCTGGAGCACTCTACATAGAGTTTCCCTCATGAGAAGTGCAAACAAGTACTTGCGATTCAAAATATCTGTCCTGGTGCCTTTTCTTTAAGGGATTCCTATCCCTTGTGTATCATTTCTCTATATGGCTTTGGGTCCTTACCACATCTCTCCACATTCTGCAGTCCCCAGGGTTCTCATTGGAGTGTTGGCTACTTTGAAAATGGCTGTCTCTCTCTTTGAGGTGCTCCTCAGGGTTCTCAACAACAAAACTTATCTATGCTACATATAGTGTATTTTAAATATATTTTCTTAAGTTGGAGAAAATCCAAATCCACTTGTTATGTGATGAGTTAAATAGACAAAAAATTACATAGAAGGAGATTTTGTAAGAAGTCAAAGGGAAAGAGCTAATACACTCTCCTTACACTCCTTCCAGCCTCTGCTCAGAATAATGAGGAAAGAGAATGAGATGTCCAGACTGGTGGTTAAGGTCACTGGAGTATGGTCTTGATGGCCCCTGCTATAGGCTCTGGATCATTAGTCTTTACCATTTTCTGAGGAGGGTAAGGTGATTAGTATAAACTTCACTCCCCACCTCAAAAGTTTCTCAGGCCATGCAAGACCACTACTGTACTGTCATCCTTCATCCCACCTTTCTCTGTGCTTCCAGAGACCAACATTCCCCATAGACCCTCTGTGGTGAAAGGTGTGGCCGGGGGCTCTGTGGCCGTACTCTGCTCCTACAGCCCTAAGGAAAGCAACCCCCTGAAGTACTGGTGTCGCTGGGAAGAGACTAAAAATGGCATCTGCCCACTGTTGGTGGAAAGTGAGGGGCTGGTTAACCAACAGTACCAGGGCAGGCTGGCACTATATGAAGAGCCTGGCAATGGCACCTACACTGTCATACTCAACCAGCTCACCACTCAGGATGCTGGCTTCTACTGGTGTCTGACCAATGGTGATACTCGCTGGAGGTCCAGTTTGGAGCTCAAGATTGTTGAAGGTAAGAGTGGAACTGGAGTGAAACAGGGGGCAGCTCTAATACCTCTCTAGTCAGCAGCAGTGTTACCTTCCCCATATGCATATCCACAATTTTTCCATTCACATTTAATGCCATGCTAGAGGGGATAGTCCTCAGGAGAGAACCTACTTTCTCAGGTCCAGTTTACATACCTGTAACAAGTACCCTTCCATGCACACCTCTTTCTGCACCCTTGAAACTAACACATGGAGCACCTCCTGTTATCAATAACATTGTCCTCTTTTATAGTATATACAGTGTCACCTGAAGTAGAGTATTGAGTGCAGCTCATTGTATTGAGACGAGGAGAGAAAAGAAACCAAGCTGAAGTTAATGTACAAGATTCCATGTTCCATGATAGATTCTGGATTGATTCATGATGGTCATCAATAATAATTATTAGGTAGACCCCAATCACATCTTTTTATGTATTCAATATAATGTATTTATTTACAACACTGTCCAAAGAGAAAATGGGCCATGGGCACAGGTCCTCACCTCAGTCACATCCCTGTAGCATCACCAGTGCCAACTCCTGTGCCTATTTTTCCCTCCCTCCAGGAGAACCAAACCTAAAGGTACCGAAGAATGTCATTGCTTCAGTGGGAGAGACTCTCAAGCTCCCCTGCCACTTCCCATGCAAGTTCTACTCATACGAAAAATATTGGTGCAAGTGGAGCAACAAGGGCTGCCAAGCCCTACCCAGCCAAGATGAAGGGCCCAGCCAGGCCTTTGTGAACTGTGACCAGAACAGCCGGATCATTTCCCTGACTCTGAACTCAGTCACTAAAGCTGATGAAGGCTGGTACTGGTGCGGAGTGAAACAAGACCACCGCTATGGAGAGACTGGAGCTGTCTATGTGACAGTGGAGGAAAGGACAGTGGGTGAGTCTCAAGGGCAAGCCTTTGCCCCATAAGACCCCAGAAGCAGGACACTTTAAGGCCCCTGCCTAACAGCTTACCAGTGGTAGTCTTGAAGTTTGGCTAGAAGAGGGTAGAGGAGGAAGAGATTTAGCCCCATAAAATCTCATTTAGCCCTACAAAATGACATCCCAGATAAACATACAAACTAAGAAAAATAATAGGCTTGCTATTTAACCTCAGCTTCAAGGCAAATCACATAGTTTTCTTTCAAACCATTTGTAGCCCCTAAGCCTCTTCTATAGATAAAAATTCCAGAGTCTGTGTTATAAATCAATAAATCACTCCCCACTGACAAAGCTTGCTCTCAGAAGAGGGCCAGCTACCTTCAATTACAAGGAGAGGTAAAGAAAATTAAGGCAACCTCTTCTAATAATATTTGCATTGTAAGCCTCTTCTTTAAATGTTGCATGAAATGTTTTATCCTTAATTACGGTATTTTTAGTTCTCCTTAGTTAGTCCTAGTTCCCTTTAGTTAGTCCTAGGGAGCTCTGGTAGCATAGTGCCTAAGGCACTTGACTGCTAACCAGAAGGCTGGTGGTTCAAACCCACCAGCCACTCCTCAGAAGGAAGATGGGGCAATCTACTTCTGTAGTGATACTGCCTCGGAAACCCAAGGAGGGGTAGCTATGAGTCAGGTCCGACTCGACGGCACATAACAACAACAACAACAACAGTTAGTCCTATAGGAGTCCTTGGTTGGTGCAAACAGATAATGCACTCAGCTGCTAACCAAAAGGTTGGAGGTTTGAGTCCACCCTTGGAAGTAAGGCCTGGTGACTTACTTCCAAAAAATCAGCCATTGAAACCTCTGTTGTTGTTGTTATGTGCCGTCAAGTCAGACCCGACTCATAATGACCCCTTCTTGGGTTTCCGAGGCAGTATCACTACAGAAGTAGATTGCCCCATCTTCCTTCTGAGGAGTGGCTCGTGGGTTTGAACCGCCAGCCTTCTGGTTAGCAGTCAAGTGCCTTAGGCACTATGCTACCAGAGCTCCTATGTAGCACAATTCTACTCTGACACATATAGGGTTGCCATGAGTCTGAATAAGGTCAATAGAAACAGAAAATGAAAAAAGGAAGAAGAAATCCTATTGTGTTTGACTCACCCTGGTAGATCATTGACAAACTGCCACCAGGGGGTAGTACCAAAACACCAAGCCCTATAGTGAGGAAGCCTGGAGCAGAGCTTCAAAGCTGTGAAAAATCATCGTCTTTAAGTGATGGATCAGCCTTTGTACACAGCTGGATCTATGATGGAGCCTTATTGATGGAAAAGAGTGTGGTATTAATGAGGCAGAGATAGCATCTGACAAGCTAGAGAAAGCCACCCCTCCCTCTATTTCTAACACCTTCCTAGGTTCTATGCAACAGCCTTGAGCTACAACAATGACCCTGAGATTCCTAATGAAGTTTCACTCCTCACACTTCATAATCTCAAGGAGAAAGAACCATACCTACCCTCTCCCTACTTTGCTCTGCTCCAGAGTCCCATGATGTCAGCCAAGCAAATGCTGCTCCCAATGGGGAGGTGGTGAAGCCAAGTGTACGGAAGTCTGGAAACCATGTCATTCAGGATCCCAAGTTTGCTGTGGTGGAGGATTTTGAAGATCCAGTTGGTGAAAGCAGAGCTGACACAAATCCTGCCAGGTAGGAAGGGTTCAGGGCTCCTGAGTTGGGGTACATCCCAGAGGCTGAGGCTGGGCCACCAGGGACATGGAGGAGAATCTGTCCACCCTAACTGCCTTTGCTTGTGCTTGGGAAGGGCTGACGGTGCTCTCTGGCCTTCTCCCTGTAGTTGGAACTGTGTCTTAGTTTCTTAGCGCTGCCATAAGAGAAATACCACACGTGGTTGACTTTAACAAACAGAAATTTATTTACTCACAGTTTAGGAGGCTGGAAGTTTGAATTCAAGATGCCAGCTCTAGGGGAAGTTTCTCTCTGTGCACTCCAGGGTGAAAATCCTTTCCTCAGATTCTCTAGCATTCTTCTCAGCATTCTTTGGAGATCTCCACGTGGCATGTCTCTTCCTCCATTTGTCCTTCTTTGCTTGTCTGCCTAAACCTGCTCTTTTTCTATGTCAAAGGTGGTTAGGTTTAAGATACACCCTACATTGGCATAGCCTCATTAACATAAAAAAGAAAATCCTGTTTTCAAATGGGATTACATCCACAGGTTAGGATTTGGACACATATTTTGGAGGTGACACATTTCAATCCATAAGAGACCATGTTTATAATTCAGTTTAATGCCCCAGGATTAAGACACAGAGTAGGCCTAGTCCTTGGCTTTGCCTTGTCTGGGCAGGCTGCTTGGAAGAACAGAGCTAGGGAGCTGTATCAGGAGGAGAGAGGGGTCAGCCTGGGAGAAAAGGAGCCAGAGTCAACTGGCCAGCGCATTCTGGGAGCCCAGGCTTCCCTTTCAGCAATTAACTAACTTAATCCTTTTTCCAGCACTGAAACTAGAGGACAAGGCGGGAGCTCCACAGTTCTGGTCTCCACCCTGGTGCCCCTGGCCATGGTGCTGGTGCTGGGGGGTGTGGTTGTGGGAGTCCTCAGAGCCCGGCACAGGAAAAATGTTGGTGAGTTCCTGGGATGCTCCCTGCCCCACCTCTAATCTTGAGCCCTCCATCTTGGCTCTGTTGCCCATAAAGAAGGCTATCATGATCTCCTCTCTTTCATAGGCTAAAAGAAAGGATTCTGGGAAAGGAGGGTAGGGAAGACAAACACACACATACCCCAAAATTAAAATAAATGCTGCTGTCCAAATACTAGGAGTCCCTGGGTAGTACAAACAATGAAGAGCTCAACTACTAACCGAAAGATTGGTGATTAGAACCCACTCAGAGATGCATCAGACAAAAAGGCCTGGCAGTCTGCTTCTGAAAAGTCACAGCCATGAAAACCCTATGGAATGTAGTTTCGCCCTGCAACACAGGGTATCATCAGAAGTTGGAATCTGGTTACTGGTTTAAATATTGTCTCTTGAAGGGCATCTCTGATTGCTCAGGGTCTAAGTACAAAGGCAGGACAGCCTAAGAAAAGGAGATGAGGATGTTGGTAGACCTGGACTCTCATGCTAATGTGATAACTAAAGGGCTGTGTGACTTGGGGCAAGTGCTCATTTTATACTTCAGTTTCCTTTTACTCAAAGCAAGAATGGTAAAAACCACTTCAACAGGCTGATGTAAGGATGATATGAAGCATTGTGAATTGAAAGGTCACCTAAGTCAAGAATTACTGAGTCTTGATTATCCATGAAAAGGGATTGGGGCGGAGACTCAGATAATCCAGAAATCATTTCCAGTCAGCTTTGAATAATAGTAGGGATGCAAAACCAGAGATACTTACTCTCATCTCTGCTCTTCTGTGGGGCTGCAACAGATCCTCCACAGAGGAGCAGCACATCCCTAAGCTTATTATTCTCATGCCCCATCTCATCCCTTTTCTAACACTTCTTTCTCTTATTTAGACCGAATTTCAATTAGAAGCTATAGGACGGACATTAGCATGTCAGACTTTGAGAACTCCAGGGATTTTGGTGCCAATGACAACAAAGGAGCTTCTTCAGTCACTCAAGAGACATCCCTTGGAGGAAAAGATGGTATGTGTCTGCACCCAAGGGAATGTTCAGCCCCTTAAAGATCAAGAACTGGATCTGACTCCACATCTGGGGTGGGAATATGAGTTAGGAGATCTAATCCATATCCTCTTCTTTACTCAGACTTCAGCGCCACCATAGAAACCACCATGGAGAATGAAGAACCCAAGAAGGCAAAAAGGGTAAGGGTAAGGAGAGAGAGATGGTTTCACTTGTGTGGCAGGAAATGCAGCATGAGGGACTGTAGTTAGATATCAAGAAAAACTATCGCAAAGTGGGTCCCAATCCTATAGCTCCAGAGCTCCTTCCAGAATAGGGAAGGTATCGTAAATACTAATGAGGAGAACTTTTTTTTTGAGGAAAAGATGTATCTTACTGGGAAGGGATAGGTTGTTGGGTATTAAGTGGATGCAGATGAAGAAGGAGATGAGCTGCATTTATAGACTTTAAAGCCATGGTTGAGTAACAGTTAAGTGCTCCACTACAAATCCAGAGGTGAGTGGCTCCATGAAAGAAAGGCCTGAGAATCTGCTTCTGTAAAGATTACAGCTTAGAAAACCTTATGGAGAAGTTATACACTGTCACATGGAGTTGCTATGGGTTGAAATTGACTCCACAGCACTGAACAACAAACTTGGGGTAGAGAGGGAGACTGGGAAATGAGGAAGGCAAGTGCAAGTAAGATTTAGCCACAGGTTGGAAGACCACATCTCAAATGATTCAGTGGATGCTCTTCCTGAGCAGTGGAGCCTATGGACTTCAGGTCACTGCCCTCCCTTGAGGGTTTTCTCAGGACCAAATTTTGCTAGGCCTGGAAGACATTTGCATGTAGTGGGCAATTTGATAGTCACTAGAAGCCATTGCCTACCCTAACCAAGTGTCATAATACTTGAAACCCCACGAAGGCTACTTTTGCCTTTAGGTTACAATTACCCTCCCCTCATGCTCCTTAGGGAGCTCTGGTAGCATAGTGGCTAAGGCACTTGACTGCTAACCAGAAGGCTGGCGGTTCAAACCCACCAGCCACTCCTCGGAAGGAAGATGGGGCAATCTACTTCTGCAGTGATACTGCCTCGGAAACCCAAGGAGGGGTCGCTATGAGTCAGGTCTGACTAGATGGCACATAACAACAAAACAACAACAACAACATGCTCCTTAAAGTTCAGGGACCCTCAGTAGGATAACATCTCATATCTTTAATCCTAAGGTGTTAATGCTTTTTATCATATCTACTTTCCCTCACAAAAGCAGAGACCCCAGCATTTGCAACAAGTAAGAGAACCAATTATTCCTGCACACAGCCTCCTCCTCTAACCTTGTGGTGCTGAAAGGCTACCTCTTTGCGCTAGTGTTGTTGTTGTTGTGTGTGTGGGCTGGTAGAACAAGAAAAATGTAATTCTCCGTGACTGGCAGCAGTCTTGCTGCCTTGACCTGTGAACTGTGTGGCAGAGCTTCCGGGGACAGGCCCATGCAACAGAGATGGTTCCACTCCATGTGTTGGAAGGAGGTAGTGAGACAAGAGGAGGTATTTTTAGAGGCTGCAACTTTCCGTTTCTCAAAATAAGTCCTCTTGGTGAGCATGGGAGCCTCCGAAAGAGCAGTCAGTTCACACAGGCTTTTGTTGCTTGGGCCCAAGATTATGAATTCAGTATATTTAGTGCCTCCCCTACCTCCTGACCTCCAGCACTGAGCCAGTGGCCCAAACACTGACTGCCTTTTGTCCTGTTGCTCCTTCAGTCATCCAAGGAGGAAGCTGACATGGCCTACACTGCCTACCTGCTCCAAACCAACAACATGGCTGCAGATGTGCAAGACGGTCCCCGTGAAGCCTAAGCAGCATGCTGGCGTTTCCTCCCTCTGCCTGTTACAATCACCTTAGAATCATGTTGATTTCAAGGCCCTCAGCTCCGGGGGGCTCCTGCTGCCTGCACTCATATGCCACCTAGGCTTTTCCTATCTGTCCTCAGAGGGTGTGCTATTCCCCTCCTCACTGGCCTAATATTTCCAGTTTATTTCTATTGAGAGAACCCCTTTTGGAAGGTGTGTTGTTGTTGTTACTGCAGAGAGTTTTGGAAGGTATAGAAAGAGAATTAAGGTCTTAGAGGGGCCTTTCAGAAAGAGGAAAGAATGGGGTGGGTAAGGAGTGAACATCAGAAAGGAGAGCCATTTAGAAACTCTCTGCACCCTCCCTATGGGATGGCAACTGGATTTTCCCTCCATCTCTTCATCCTTTCCTTCCTTCTTTCCTTTATTCTGGGTGTTCTGTTAGACACTGGGACAAATATGCCACAAACCTAGCTGGCAGCCCTTCTGTAGACATCACTGAGTCCTTGGAGGCTACAGCTTTTCTCAACGTATTTTTACTCATGAAGACCTCAAATTCTCACCAGGTAGACCCACTTCTGCCCTTATTGAGAGAAACCATAAATACCTGGAGTCCTGAGGCCTTAGGGTTCATGTAACACAGGCATGCATACAAATAACCATTACACATATTCCTACAATTTTATAGGGAAGAGCATTGGGGTCCTGAGAGATTTTCCCAAGGGCACCAAGTGAGACAACCCAGTGTCAAAACTAGATCTGTGCTCTCCTGTCCTTTGGAGCAGGGCTCTTGCTGCAGGAACCCCTGCTTTCCTGGTGGAGGAGGAGTTTTCACTTTAGAATTAGAAGGAGGAAGAGAAACATGTAAAAGGAAATTGATTTCTCACAGGCCCTACCTCAAGAAAGGCCACACTTACCCTTCCTGACAGTCACATGGACCCAAAAAGATTTACAACCTCTCATATGTAAAGGACAAACATTCAAATATATTCATATGTGAAGAGTTCTGAGCAGAAGGGAAGCTAGGGAGGGGCTGGTGTCCAAAGAGCTAAGGTTTAAGGTCTTTCTTCCTCTGAGATCTGTACTTCAACCAGCATCTATAAACTCGTATTCGCTAACAAATCAAAAGTGTCACTTAATTAATAATTAAAGACTGTGATTGCCATCAAGAAGTCTCAGACTGTATTTTGCCCCCATGCCTGCTGTTTCTCAGACAACCATTTCAGAGCATTTTGATTTGGTTCCACTTTTAGGCACCTCAAGACATGTATCTAAACCAAAGTTTCCCTCACATCCAGTTCTGGGCTGAGGAGGGCTAAAAGAACACCTAAAAGTGGGAGCAAGGTTATCTTCAATAAAAGAACAAAAGAGTAGTTATGTGTCTACTCCTGTGATCAAGACCCCAAAGCTGTATATTACAGAATATAACTAAGGCCATTTTACAATGGAATGAACTGAAAGCAGGTATAACCAGTACTGATCTCAGTCAGGCATGAAAAATCTTGATCAAACATCCACGGGATATTTAACCTTGGATCTCATACCTTCCTAGGATGACTTCCAAGTTGAAGAAGCTGTTAATTAAAACTGAATTAATAAATTAGTAAACTATTTTTATAGGATTGTCAACTAGAAAGTAGACAAATTTTAGGGGATAGCTGGCAAAAATGATAACTTAAGTTTGAGAAGAGTTGATCCAAAGCCCCTTTTGAGGAACAGTGGTTAGGCAAAGGACTCCTTGTTGACTAAGGCCCTTCTTAGGTCTGGCATTAAGCCATATCATATACTATAGGGAATGTCCAAACTGTCCGTTGACAGTGCCCCTCGCCTGTGCCATCTCCTTGGGGCCTGTGTGTGTTGAGAGTTCTCTTTAGGAAAGAGTTCTCTGCAGTCTTCCATTCTGCTTGATGTGCTTCTCCCAGACCTTGCTCTGAATGCTGCATCTTCCCACACCTGCATTTGGCCAGGACTCAGATTTCACTTCTTGGGTTTCCTTCCACTCCAGCCCCACTGACTTCACTGCCCAGTCCAGTGTCCCAGGCAGGGTACTGACCTGATCAGAGCATTGAGCTCCTCTCCAATAGGAAAGGCAGTTATCAGGAATGTTTATTTACTGTTCTCTATGAGGGGATGCATATCTAAATTATTTCTGGAATGATTATAAGTCATTTGGAAACGAAAACTATGAGGTGTGTCAGAATCTATTACTGTTTTACCTCTCTGGAAGCTGCTCTCTCTCTCACCAAAGGGCCAAGTCTGTGGCAGAAGGATTAAGATGCAGCTTCCATATGAATATCAATAACCAGCAAGCCAATCAAAGGCCAAGAAATGTCACCACAGACACAGACACTTTTATATTACTCCTAATTGATAGTATCAATAGGTGATGTTGTAGTTGTTGTTAAGTGCCGTCAAGTCGTTTCCGACTCATAGCGACCCCGTGCACAGCAGAACGAAACACTGCCCGATCCCGCGCCAGCCCCACAATCCCTGTTATACTTGAGCCCATCATCGCAGCCACCGTATCAATCCATCTCCTTGAAGGCCTCCCCCTCCTTCGTCGACCCTCCGCCCTACCAAGCATGACATCCTTCTCCAGGGAATGGTCCCTTCTTACAACATGACCAAAATAGGTGAGATGAAGTCGGGCCATTCTTGCTTCCAAGGAGCATTCT